TTAAATCATGTGAACAGAGTCAACTTTTTTTTGATAAATGTTAATAAACTGATGACTTTAATTAAATATAGCCAGCATGAGTAGGTATCAATTTAATTAGACACATATTTGTAAGAGTAGCAGAGTAATAATAATAATAAAAAAATAAAAAAAAAGTCTTAAGTCACAAGTTCATTAGTGCAAAAAGAACGTATAATGTCATTCGTTCAACGTCCAACCACTGAATAACAATTATTAGACGTCATTTAGAATTGTAATTCGACGTCAATTTGTTATATTGTGTAAATTTTGTGAAAATGCTTAGCACGAAGGTGAAAATGTATTTTCATATGACGTCGAATTCCCTAAAATTAGACGTCAAAAGTATATAAAACATCGAATGTCCCAGTGTTAGACATTAAAAGGTTAGTAAATTCAATAAAAATTTGAGCGGGAGATTGAAAATTCATTCACTTTATCTTAGCGCGCGATACCCTCTTCTCTCCTCAAACTTTTCTGGAACGAAGTTTGATGACCATCATATGTAATCTTTTTTTCCTTTATTACAAATGCATGTTAATTAACTACTTTAGGTATAATTTTCGTTTGTTTTGACCTATTATTTTCGTGTTTTTGTCCTTCATGGGTGCATTCTGCTTTCTCTCTCATTTGTGACAACACTTTATTTTGACGAACCCACATTTTGAATGTTATTTTTCGTTATCGTTTTGAAGAACTTATTTGTTGAACATGTTTGCTCTTGTTTTTTTGTTGAACTTGTTTGTTATTGTTGTTTGGTTGAACCTGTTTGTTGTTGTTTGATTGACCTTGTTTGTTATTTGTTATTGTTGTTTGTTGTTGATACTATACTAGATGTTTATAGTTCGTTCATGCGGTATAAAATACCAAAAACTGAAATTTAGGTCCCGTTGAGTTATAAGAAGGGATCACAATTAATTAAAAAAACAAAAACTAATTTATTAACGTTTGAATATTGACAAAATTCAACGTTAATTTGTTTGACTTCGAATTGTTCTACGTTTGACGTCAATTTAACGTCTCCTGATATGATGTCGACCTCGAATTTAACGTGAAAGGCCGAAAATCAGGACATTATATGTGTTTTTGTACTAGTGGTTTAATCCTACAAATTTTCGTAAATAAATATTTTATCTCAATTATATTACATCCTTATTTCAATTCTTGATTTTCTCTTTAAATTCTTATATTATAATCTATTTCAGTTTCTGTAATATTTTTCCTTTTTATTTCATATTAAATTGGGATAATTGCAAAAAAGAAACCAAAACATGGTGTTGTATAGATTCAATATTTATTACCTTACAATAACTATACACTTGCCATTTTCATGATAAAAGAAAAGAAATTAACTTGTGCAAAATGTAGTCACTACCTTCCTCTAAATTGTACAAACATATGTTTTATGTATATGTACAGTATATCTTTTTGGTCAACTATTGAATGGTTAGGTTTTTGTTAAATGAATCAAACTAGACTGTCGAAATATTATAAATACTAAATGATCAAGCTAAAGTGAATTAACTTTAAAACCATTATTTTTAAAGGCTAAATTATGATTAGCCACATTTGTGTCATAATTAGACCAATTTTATCAAAATTCTATCACAAAATTTATAAATAATGAGTCAAGGTAAGAGGTAGGTTACATATTAATAATGCATTTATTGTCTTTATAATTTGAATTGAACCTTTAATAGGTATTTGACGAAAAATGTACATATTTATGTTATTTTTCCCTGGAAAAGAAATTAAATATATACCTTGATAATTAATCTAAATTGTTAAAACTAAGTAAAAGACATAGATTAAGACTAACATGGTGTTAGATACCACATGAAAGAGTACAATAGAAGGGGTCCTAAAAATCAATAGGAGTTGTTTAATCATTATCATTCATCATTTAGAGATGTGATAGAGATGACATTTGGTATGTTGAAAAAATGATTATGCCTTGATCAGAAAATTCCAGTGATCAGAAAATTTAGCCTATCCTAGACATCTCAGACGTACTCTTTACAACAATTCTTTGCAGAAAGTGAAGTCTTGATGTCTTGAAAGGTCTCCTGATCGTCTCCTCTGTTTTCCAGTAATTTTCTAGCTTTGTTCGTGTGTCAGAAGATCGTTTCTACCTTTCTGTCATGTCTTTTTAAGCCACTTAACTTAATTAATTCGCTCAGCGCACATGTGTGTGTGCGTTGTGTGAATTTCCTTTAACTGTTGCACTTCAACTGATGTTATTCGCTCAGCGCACAGGTACTGGTGCGCTATGCGAATTTACTTATTCTGACTGTGCGAATTTTGGCTTGCGCTATGCGAGAATTGGCTGACAGACTCCAAATTATACACCCTTTCCTGTACAATAATTTACATAACAATCTACTTCCTATTACAACTTTTCACTGAGTAATAACATGAATAATTATNTTGCAGAAAGTGAAGTCTTGATGTCTTGAAAGGTCTCCTGATCGTCTCCTCTGTTTTCCAGTAATTTTCTAGCTTTGTTCGTGTGTCAGAAGATCGTTTCTACCTTTCTGTCATGTCTTTTTAAGCCACTTAACTTAATTAATTCGCTCAGCGCACATGTGTGTGTGCGTTGTGTGAATTTCCTTTAACTGTTGCACTTCAACTGATGTTATTCGCTCAGCGCACAGGTACTGGTGCGCTATGCGAATTTACTTATTCTGACTGTGCGAATTTTGGCTTGCGCTATGCGAGAATTGGCTGACAGACTCCAAATTATACACCCTTTCCTGTACAATAATTTACATAACAATCTACTTCCTATTACAACTTTTCACTGAGTAATAACATGAATAATTATAAGATTGAGATAATTTATAAGTGTAAAAACAACTCTTTTTCACACTTATCAAGCTGGTAATTTGAGAGTTGGTCCTTGAAATTTGTCTTTGTAGCAATAAATTATATGTAGTATTATGTGGTCCTCATTCGTACCTTGATTACATATGCATAAGTTCTAAATATCATTAACAAAAGTAATAACAATAATAAAAAATGTAAAAAATAATAATGTTATCATTATGATGTTTTATGATCATTTAATATGATTTTATAATATGTAGGAATGGCAAAAAGGGCCAAGCTGGGTAGGCAGTCCATCAGCTCAGCCAAACAAGGTGGATTGAGATAACATTTTCAACCTAAGAGCCCAAACCAACCTAGCCCGCCAAGCTTGTAAGCTTGGCAAGCCAACCCTACGAGTCAGTCAAGTCAACCTACTAATGCGATTGAGATCTGATACAACTCAAGATTGATACAAATCAAATAAGATGTGAAACAGCTTGGACGAGTCAGAATCAGCTTGGTAGCCAACAATTTAGAGGGTTCGGTTGTAAAAGTCAACTGATTCTTAAGTGACAAACCAACCAACTTGACACATTTTTGACAGGTCAAAATTAGACCAAAGTTAAACGGGTCACGTTAGTCCGTTTTGTCACCCCTAATAATATGTGGCATTTTCATTTTATATACAACAACATCATGTTAATAACTTTATTAATAAAACTTTATTATTATTTATATTATTAATATAGAAATTATTATTTAAAAGTGTAATTAAATATTTTTCTTATAATTCCCTTCTAATTATAATTTTATCTTCCCAATTTTAACTTTTTTCAATTATAAATAACAATTTTATATTATTTTTCTTTTTTACATTCAAATTTATATCACATTTATTCTTAATTAAGAGTAAAATGGTAATCACTTAATTTTATCTATTAATTTTTTTAATATAGCATACTCATTACACCATACACACAATTAAACTTTCATCTCAAATCACATTATTTATCTCTTAATTCAAATAATAAAACAACCCACTTTCCAATCAAATACACCCTAAGTAGTTTTACTTATTAAAGTAAATGTCCTACACTCATCTTCTTGTCCATATAAATAGTATAGTTATTGCGAAATTTTAAGTATTAAAATTATATTATATTTATTTAATATTTGTTATATATTATTTAGTTGTTTACAAATATTTTTTTGAAGCGTTACATTTTGAATTATTTAAATGATGTTTATTAAACCGTCAATATTACAAAATTGAAGGATTGTTTTATTTTATTACCTACTGCATTGTTATTTTGTTAAGTGGATATTTAATGCAATATATGTCTAGTTTATATATTAATTGTTCAAATTTCAAAACTATAAGAAAACTTTAATGCACCCATGTGCATACATATGCTGGCAAGAGACCCTAATCAATATTTTCATATGTACAGTAAATATATGAAGAAAAGATACTTAATGTAACAGGATAAAATATATATATATTATAATAAAGTAAGATGACAATTTTCATGTGAAATAGAAGAAAACAGGACAAATAATTTAATAATTTACATTAATTAAATTAATCTTAAATGAAATATTAAAAGAAGTGTATTAATGCCTCATTAATAATTTTTTTTTCAAAAAAATATTACATAAAACGTTTAAAGCATATATATCAAAGCAAGTTCACCCATAATGAAATTCTCACATCAACAATTGTGAAAATCAAATTGAAGTTCTAAGGAGATAGGAACTCATTCTCTACCAACTAGATCAAGGTTAGTTGCCAATGATATATTTATCCACACACCACAGGAAAAAAATAGAAAATAATGTTACTTTTTTTAAAAAAAAATATTTTCAAGAATCTATTTAGGTGCATGAAAGACATTTGTGATTCATCAACCCTAAAAAGATCCTTCTAAAATCTATCTTTCAAAGTGTGGACCTCAAAACATTACAGGAGAGTTCCACTTTTTATTTGTTTCTGTCTATTTAAGGTCTTTATCTTAAATTTCCATTGACCCTTTGGATTCTTATGGCTAAAATTGGCAAAAAAACTTGAACTTTTTTCTTTGGGAGCGGCGTTGATTTCGTAACCTATCTTTTCCTCACTCCCTATTTAATGTTCCTTTATGTTCTTCATCTCATCATAAATAAATTTTATTGATCTCTTTCCTTTCATTGAGTACTTGGTTCAAGTTCTTTGTCTTTGGGACAATGATCCTTATATATAAAACCCAACATATGATGAGGACAATGTGAACCAAACCAAAACTTGTCCAACAACAAACACAAAGAAAGATGGAGAGTTCAATGAGACTTGAATACTTGATGACTGTCTTTGCTGTTTCCGGAGGCATGGTCCTTTTGTTTCACCAAGCCAATAAGCATTTGTGCAACAAATTCTTGAAGAAATTTGAGTATGAAATTAGAGGTATATATACCCAAATGACCTTTTTTTTTCTTTCTTTCTTTTTGGTGTCATCATTTAATAATTCAATCCCTTTTGCTTTGTTGAATTGTTGGGGAGATTTTGAACTTTTATTTGTTGTTGCAAGGTTCAACAAAACATGAAGCAAAGAAGAAGGTGAGGTTTGCAAAAGACAAGGTGGAACTGATTCCTAATGAGAATAATTTTGAGAGTGATAGCATAAACTATGCAAAGGAACAAGATGTCATTGCTAAGGTTATGGATTTGGATGATGCTGAGAATTGGAAGCATGATGAGAAAATTAAGGATGTCATGCCTCCAAACAGGGTAGTTCTATATAGGGGATTGATGAATAATAGGAAGGAGAGGTTTGATGTTTGATAATTTCGAACACCCTCCCAAAAAAAATTCTACATTTGGGCATCTAGTTCTATTAAATAGTTTAAGGAATAAAAGATTGATTGAGGGTTCTTGAATGGATGTAGCAAATTACCTTCTTCTTTTTTCTCTTTTTTGCTGAAATTGGGTTAGGGTTTTGGTTGGATGGGTTTCTAAAAGGAAGTTGCAATTAAGCATGTAATTTTGTGTAATGTGAATAAACTAGCTAATTTGGTTTGGAATATTAATTGATTCCCAGAAATGAAGATCTTTTATATGAAGATATCAACATTTTTTCCACGTTAAACCTTTCGAATTTACGTAAAAGGGATATACATTATGTCAGAAAGTGTGATTTGCTTGAATCTACGTTGGACCAGTGGAAATTGTTAGAAAGAGCCGTCTTTGGGACAATGAGGTTAAAAGGTTTCATTACAACTTTATCAATCGTCTGTAACATTCTTAAAAATATTGAAAGAAAAGAAAAATATTAAAATGAGGACAAAACCAGAACTCGTAAATTGTAAATCTCAATTACATTCTTCAAAGGTTAAATGTGTTAATGTTGACGGACGCACTGTTATAGTTGACGGACGCCCGATGTAGGAGAACGCAATGTATGAGCGATGTAAATGGTGCAGAGAATGTGAGAGAGAGAGCGAGCGAGCGGAGAGCATATATGAGAATGAAAGGTAAATTGTATTATTCAAAAACTAACTAAAAGAAGAAATAGTAAAAGAGTATATAAGCGGTCCAATGAGCGCACAATAACTAACGCTTGTCAGTTGGGACGGTTGCTTTTAGTTTACAATAACACGTTCCCCTAAACTAAACTACTGAGAGACTTAACATTTAACATTTCTCTAACTTTTTCGAATATAGTTTGCCTAAGGGCCTTTGTAAAGATATCAGCAGTTTGTGCTTCAGTCGAGTAGTGCACCAGTTCAATTTTTCCTTGGTTCACTAAATCTCTCAGAAAGTGGAACTTTGTGCTGATATGTTTGCTCCTTCCGTGGAACACTGGGTTCTTCGACAGACTGATTGCAGACTTGTTGTCCATCGTCAACTGAACCGGTTGCCTGTAATCAAGCTTTAAGGCCATGAGAAGTTCTTCCAACCAAACGCACTGGCATGCCGTTTCTGTCGCGGCTATGTACTCTGCTTCACACGAAGAGAGTGCTACCACGTTCTGCTTTCTCGAACACCATGAGATGGGTGCTCCCGCATATTTGAAGATGTATCCGAAGGTGCTTCTTCTATCATCCTGATCTCCACTCCAGTAAGAATCACTCCAGACTTCCAGAGTACTCTCCAAGTCGCTCGTTGCTTTTGGAAATAGAATACCATAGTCGATCGTTCCTTTTACGTACCTTAGAACATGTTTCGCTGCTGACATATGAGATTGTCTAGGTTCATTCATGAACCTGCTCAATAATCCAACCCCATAGTTTATATCCAGTCTGCTGTTGCAGAAATATCTCAAAGATCCAATGATCTATTTGTATAGCGAGGCATCCATGCTTTTCTCATCAAGTTGTTTTGTCAACTTCAGGTTAGCAGTAACTGGGATAGTAGTGTTGTTACACTTGGCCATGTTGAAACGCTTCAGGACTTCACTGATGAACTTCTTCTGGTGCAAGAAGACTCCACTTGTAGTTTCAATAAACTCCAGACCCATGAAGTAGTTAAGTTTTTCAAGATCAGTCATATCATATTTTGCTCTCATTCTTCTTTTGAATTCCTCAATATACATTCCAAGTCCTTTTTTCTAATACATCTCCTAATTTTTCACTTGAATTAATATTGAGAATGGGATTGATGTTTCCAGCATCGTTATTGTTGTCAAGCGAGTTAAACGTTACATTTTTTTTTATTGGAATACATAAAAAAAAACTGTTGTAAATTTTAAATATGATTTTATATTCTTTTCAATAAAATATTCTCTTTTTGATTCACTTATAGATAACAACACTAATATGAAATTCGAAAACAATAAAACTAGAAAGATATGAAATGACAGATTTTCTATTCATAGTCAAACTTGTAATATTTTACAAGTTTTGTATATTAGTTGTTCAGTAAGGATATTTTGAAAACACGTGAAATGAAACCATTTTGATAGGTGTTATAATATGATATTTCGGAGATAATGATAAAGAATGATTACTTGATTTAATTTATAACATAATGCGATATTAAGTATGGATAGGTTTTTAAGAAAAGATTTACTAAGAAACAAGATCAATGAGATACGAATGAGATTTGAACTTATTTTATATAAAAGATTGATACCAACTTTTAATCTAAAACTTTAAAATAATAAATTTATGAATATTTAATGAGATTTTTAAATTTATATTTGAATTCTCAAATAAAGAGTAAAAAACAATTTAAATATGATAAATCATTTAACAGTAAGTGATTCTTAATTATTGAAAGGGGTGAAGACATTATAATTTTCCATTAACTATTAGAAGTGGACTTTTAAGTCTAACTCAATTCTACAAAACCGGCTTGTAGGGTGAGGTTTGCACCCAGTTATAAACTATGAATTGGTCTTATCTCTAGTCGATGTGGGACTTTCAACATTAACCTCTATAAATGTATATTTCATATGTGTCTATCACGAAAAAAGGACAATATGGAGAGAAATAATCAAAATTAAGAGGAATGGAAAACAAGGCATGATATATGTTAGGTAACTTCAACATGATTCTAAAGGTGTAGAATAGATAGGTTTCTCTATATGTAAACCAAAGTAAACAAAAGATAATTAGAAAGGTGAATGAATTAGACAAAATTGATGGTTGGAAGTCTAACATTAACAAAAAATAAGGTTAGTTTGAAATATATATATATATATATATATATATATATATATATATATATATATATATAGATGTGCAAACCTTACCTTACAAGTGAGATTTGTAAAATTGAGTTAAAGTTTACTTCTTAATATGTTGGAAGTCTCGCATTGATTAAAGATAAAGTCAGTTTACAATATATAAATGAGTACAAATCTCATTTTACAAGTCAATTTGGTAAAGTTGACTTAAGCTTAAGTCCACTTCTTAAACATAATATCAAAGTCCTGAGTTAAAACCTATCCTAGCAAAGTTTGTTGGGTCTATTATTTTATCTACTATCGAACTATTGTCAAACCACCCATTAATGTCTAGTCTTACGGTCGATATGTATATGTTTTAGTGTGAGGGGGTGTGTTAGAAGTTTCACATAAACTAAAGATAAAATTAGCTTATAGTGTACAAGTGGGTACAAACATCATCTTACGAGCTGATTGTGTAAGATTTAATTAAGCTTAAAATTCACTTCTTAACATAGATAAAAACAATTTTTTAGATGAAAAGAGAAAGGCAGGAAGAAAATAACTTTTTCTTGAGTTGAAAAGACAAGTTTAAAAAAGGAAGCATTGGAGAAGTCTTGGACTAAGTGAATAATGGTAGGTGATCTAACTCAAAGTACTTTCATTTGATGACTAATTGGAAGAGATCAAAGAATGTGATTAAGAAGTATAAGAATTCATGGAGAGTGGTATGGGAACAAAAATGGTTAAATAAGAGGTTAAAACATTTTATAACAATAAATTGAACGTGAGTTCAAGGATTAATATTAGGTCGGATGATATAGAGTTCCTTCTAATATTTTTACAAAATAATATGATATTGACAAGTATATTCATATGGCAAAAATTAAAAATATTGTGAGAGTTGTAAAATGGTATAATAATGAATAAGGTAGTAATTTAGTCCGATAAAATCAAACAAGACATTAAGTAGCTTGGCTTGCTCTTTTTGTGAAGTTGGTAAATTAGCTTCCAAATAAAGACTACATGGATTTTGGATATTTTTTGTTGTAAGTAGGTGCATGTACAGTTGCAATAAAAGTAAGGTGTACAACTCCTTAATTCCTTAGAAATTTTGAAGGAGAAATTCACCGGAGAGATATAACATAAGATACAAGTCTAACAAACATAAAGCATTGACACCACCTATAACCCAAAATCTTAAGTCAATGAGCTTATGTATTTTATTCTTATATTGTTTAACTTTCTCACTTCTACTCTGTGAGACTTAAACTCACACTTAAATTATGAATAACTAGGTTTAAAAATGATAAGAATATACCTTTCGAATCTTATCTTATATAGTGTCACCCATACTTAAAAACTAAATTACTTTAAAAAATGATATAATTTTATCATGTACATGTTTGACTCTCTAATTGACTAACTTAAAAAAAAATACATCATAACTGAGATTATCTTGAACTTGGATAGGATCAAGTTTGATTACACGAGGATCTAGAATGCATTTTCTAAGTTGGAATACATGAAAAACAAAGTATAAACCTCACCAACCCTAAAGAAAGTATATGTTTATTATGCAAAGTTGGAATGAGTCTTCGATGTTCAATCTATTATAATTTGATGAATTGAGAATATGTAATAACTTTTTATTATATTAGATTTTGTGTGTTGTGTTGATTGTTGTTAATTTTAGGATAACACATATTATAAATTATTTGATTAAATTTTGAAAAAAAATAAACATAAAAATTTAATAATTAACATTATTCTTTTTATTATACAATAAAATAAAGAGTTATTATTCTCTTACCTTTTAAGAATTTTATTTCCAAAATTTCTTAAACTTCAAATAAATGTACATATTTCTCTATCATTTAATCATCAGATTATCATGTTATTGGCTAATATTGAGTTCCAAACTACTTTAATTTCAATGAAAGGTTTAATTTGTTATTATATGCAATCTAAACACTAAACATGATTATATACACTACGACTTTTACTGATGAATTTTAATAGTGCTATAATTTACCGATAATTACCATAAAATATTTATCAAAAAATTTGTTGTTGTCAACAATTACTGATGGATTTTGGATTTTAGAGACTGTTAGTAAAAAGTTTTGATGAATATTTTACCAATAAATTTATGGTTGTCGGTAATTTATCACTGTATTAGAATTATTAA